CTTTATTTTCAAGGTGGCCTGAACAGAGTGTTTTAGGGCAGCAAACCCTGGTCTCAGGCCACCTTGACTTTAGCTTGAAAACCACAGCTTTGAAGCCTCATGCGCGCCATACCAGAACTGTAGCTACTTGTAGCTACCCTGGGTCCGTATAAATAGTATGTTGCTATACCTCTTACACACCTATACAAGTTCAAAGCACGAATGAGACTTCAAGGCTGTGGATTGCTGTGCGTGTGTAGAGGTTCTCAAGCGGTTGACGGAAAGGGAACTTGAAGTACTATACCTGGTAGCTGCACTATAGCTACCCTAGGTCTCTCTACCTTGCAAGGTGCCAACTACGCCTTTCCATTCAGATGATGCAAATGATGCATTTGGCATTTCTTGCATCACCACCCCTCAAAAATCACCTCCAACACAACCTCAAAAAACCTTCCCTCGGAGCACCCTCCTCCCCCAGCATGTGCTGAGTTGACGTATACCTTTCTCGGGCAACCCCCCCAGACCCCCTAACTACTCACTTCGTTCGCCAGACACAACTCCGCTAGCGCCTTCTACGAAGGCTGGCTTTCGTAATATAAAAGTTGGAAATCCTCACGATAGCATTCTAAGTTCCAGCTATAGTAAACTGGGGTAGTAGTCATTCCCAAATAGGGTTGAAATGTTGAGAAGCAAACAGTCAATGAGTCAATGAAAGCACCAACCAAATGTCAACTTAGTGCATTCTTGGATTCTTCTCTTGGTCAATTTGTTCAAATGCACCAACACCACTTGAACCAACCCCTGTGCTTCTCGAGTTGCTTGGTGACATCCATGAGCTTGCGGAGAGGCTCTACCCAACCTGAGAGCAGCTCTCGAGCTGAGGTTGGAAGCACCGGACCATGAGTCGGACCACTCTGGATGGTTTTCCTGGTTGGAGGTCCGTTTTCGGAAAAACGGACCCTCAACAAACAAACTTGAGGCCAAGCGGGGGGCGAAAGCTAGCGCTCCAGAATGGGAAAGTGGAGGGCAGCGAGGTAGGAAAAAACACGGCGCTCTTTTTGGAGGCAGTCAAGGAGTAGCAGAAGGCAGGACGCCTTGCACAAGTTGGGCGGGGCAAACGATTCCAGGTGAAGAGTCCTTCATATGTGGCTCTTTGCCCGGATCCTCCTGCGAGAGAAGAGAGAGAAGAGAGACGGAAAGACGAGAGACAGAGAGGAGAGAGAGAGAGAGAGAGGAGAGAGAGATGAGAGAGAGATGAGAAAGAGATGAGGGAGAGATGAGAGAGATGAGAGAGAGATGAGAGAGAGATGAGAGAGAGATGAGAGAGAGATGAGAGAGAGATGAGAGAGAGAGAGAGACAGTGAGAGTGAGAGTGAGAGTGAGAGTGAGAGTGAGAGTGAGAGTGAGCGAGTGCGGCCGCAAGATACGCAACGCTAACCGCATGCCAAAGAGCGACGACAGGACGGAGTCGAACTTGCGAAGAGGGAGGAGGGAGGGAAGGTGGGAGGAAGACA